GCCAGTTCTAACTTCACATCTAACATGCAAATGGGGCTGTCTTTTTTTAGTTGCAAGTCCACCTTAGATATGCAACTAGGATCCGACTCGTTTTTGTTCCATTTTCAACTCCACCCTCTGACACACAATTGGGGGATGACCATTTTTCTCAAGTTACAACTCCACCCTCGACACACAATTGGGGGGCAGCCATTTTTCTCGAGTTACAACTCCACTGTACCCTCGACATGTAACTGGGGCCTGTATTTTCTCTCTCTCAATGACAAGTCCACCCTGGATATTTAATTAGGATGTTGAATCATGATTATTGGGTTAGGGGAGTATGGTATTTTTTCTCCCATTGCAATGCACGGCTTCTTTTGCTAGTAATACAAAATACACATAGCTTTCCTTTTTCTACCCCGGTATATCCCTTTTTTATTATCCAAAGCAAGGAACTCGACACATGTTCTATAGGGAAAAATCCCATCAACATCGTACGAAATTCAGAAAGATCACTACATATTACAGGACCAACACAATAGAGAAAGTATAAAATCATTAAATGGGTTGACCACTCGTAGTAAAAAATAATCAGTAAAGTCGACGAAGCACATTAGGGAACGAAATAGAAGCTGATCGAGCAAACCCTGTGGCGTAGGTCGGAGAATGGTGTAGTGGAGACAGAGTTCTTCCTTTCGTCGACAGCGGTGGAGGCGGTGGTGGACACGTATCCACCGCATCTCGGGCAAACCCTGTGGGCGGCCGGGCGCCCTTGTGGAGATGGAGGCCGCCGTCAAAACCTTCTGCCTCCCTGGACTACCTCAATGTTCATGGCACAAAGGATCGTGACGATGAGTAGCAGGCGGACAATGTTGATGGAGTCATGCACTACTGGACTAAGAGGCCGTCGGCATAGGCCCTTTGCCGTCGGCCAAGGTCTATGCCGACGGCAGCCATCGGCATACACACTGTCAGCGTACTTCTGTCAGACTGTCCACATAGATATGCCGTCGGCATAGGGGTCTGTGCCGACGGCCTCCGTACGACCGTCGGCATAGTTCGGCCCTCGGCGCATTTTTTCACGAGACGGCCGCAGACTGCACCGTCACTACGCCGACCGTATCACAGTGTGACCTTCGTCTTATCTGTGCCACGTGTCACCCCCTGAGAGCTTCTGCCGTTGAGATATGCCGACGGCCAAGCCCTCGGCTTATCCGTGCCACGCGTCACGCCCTAAGAGCTCATGGGCGTTGAGATATGCCGACAGCTTAGCCATCGGCATACTCATGCCACATGTCGGCTACTGGTTCATCTGGGCATAGCTATGCCGACGGCCAGGCTGTCGGCATAGTTCTGCTCTATTTTTTTATATGCTCTGTTTTGTCCATTTCCATTCAAATTCACAGCAAATTCAACATACAAATATGACAGATCACAGCAAGATCATCATCATCTCACCATCATCATCATCATCATCTAAAGATCATCATCATCATCATCATCATCGGCGAAACTTAATGAACACAAGTTTGAGAACATAAGTATGAGACACAAGCATCATCATCGCCATCTAAAGAACGGTAAATAAGAACTACGGAACATGAAAATATGACACGACATGCACCAACACGGGTATCATCATCGACATCAGCCAAGACCGCCACCGCCAAGACCGCCACTGCCAAGACTAGCACCACTTTGCCAGATCGGAGTGACTGGGGTCGACGAAGCAGTAGTCGAGCCACCGGTCCCCTACATGTTTGAGAAGAGATTCTAAGAGTAAATGTGATATGATAAAGTTGAATGAACGAGAACTAGTTTGTCAGTAGTTAGGCAAATGTACTAACCGGAGTATCACTGCCTAGTGCCACCCATTCATCCAACGTGGGCACATGTGGGGATTCTCCAGCAGTTGGTGGTGGGGGTCCCATTTGTGATGGATCCGTGCGATTAGTCCAAGACGCCAACATAGACTGGATGTTAGTTAACCAAGCAAACTAGAAGGTCAGAAGGAATGAAAGTGCAAATTTTAACTTGGTTTTAAGATGGAAAAACTAACTGTCATCATCTGACGGTTGTAATCATTGTTTTCCTTCACTCGTTGTAAGTACCCCCGCACCTCGAGATTCCTTTGCTCGACAAAGGCCTTATATGCCTATAAAATTTATGTTGTTTCTAAATGGGCAATGCTGAAAATAAACCGAGAAAGTGAGAGAGAAAGAAGATAAGAGGGCAGTACTTACAGCGTGCTGGCAGGCTGCGAACGCCCGTACTCTCTAAGGGGCTCAGGTTGGTAGCTCGAAGCCGTGTGTTTTCGTAAATTTTCAGAATTTTTTATAGGTGATAGATATACAAATTCTCTATGTTTTTTTTTCAGAATTTTTGAGTTACATAAGTATGGTTAGAGTACAGATTACTTCAGACTGTTCTGTTTTTGACAGATTCTATTTTCAATGCATAGTTTGCTTGTTTCCTAGTTTCTGTGGCTTATATTGCTCAATATAAATTGTGGAAATGATAGGGTACAGTGGGCATTTTGTGAGAACAATTATGAATCTTGTTTTTGACAATACCAAAGTGAATGATTTGCTCTTTATCATACTAACCTATCTCACGAAGTTTCGTTAAGTTTTGTGTGATTGAAGTTTTCAACTTTTGGGTGAGATATCAATATGAGAAGAATAAGGAGTGACAAGACCCTAAGCTTGGGATGTCCAAGGCACTACCAAGGTAATATTCAAGGAAGATCAAGCAACTAAGCTTGGGGATGCCCCGGAATGCATCCCCTCTTTCGTCTCCAACATTATCGGTAACCTTACTTGAGGCTATATTTTTATTTGTCACATGATATGTATTTTTTCTTGGAGCGTCTTTTTTTGTTAGGATTTTCTTGCTGTTATCCATAATAATGTTTTGCATCTTTTAATTTAATAAAAATGTCAAGTATAGCCTTTGCCATGCTTATTTTGTGTGTTTACTTGTGGCTATTTCAAAATAGAAAGTTTGTTGTTGTTGTACAAATTCTCTAGAAAAGTCAGAATGTGATAAAATGTTGAAACTTTTTGCATAGTAAGCTACTTCCTTCGTCCGGAAATACTTGTGATCAAAATGAATAGAATGGGATGTATCTAGACGTATTTTAGTTCTAGAGACATCTTTTTTTAATCCATTTCGATGTCAAGTATTTTCGGACGGAGGGAGTATAATAAATTTTCTACAGTGTAGTAAGCTATAATAAACTTTTTCCCAAGAGCATCTATATTAATATCGATGTGGTATCTTGAATACCCTTCAGGGAGAATTCCTTATTTAACACTAAAAATATTTCTCTTCCTCATCTAACATTGAGGTTAAATTTAATGCCCTATATAACATTTTCGTCCACTTTGAATCTTAACGGTGTTAAACTTTTTTGCCCCTTATGTGATTTGTGACAAAAATTGCATGCATGCTTAGCCAGGTGTATTGGGTATTTGGGTGTACATATGCATACAAAAGTAAACAGACTTAAAGCAAAGTTGGTTTGATCTAATTCCAGACCGGTTAATGCTAGAACTATAAATAAGGGACCAAGATTAATTGTAGATTTGAGTATTGAGGGTGGTTACACCACCTATAGGTTCTCTATTACTCCCTCCGTTCCAAAATAGATGACTTGACTTTGTACTAACTTTAGTATAAAATTGGGTCATCTATCTTGGAACGGAGGGAGTACATGCCAATCCTACCCCACTAGTACGAATAGGCGGTGGTACACGAATACCCGAATATGCATGCATACATGGTATGGTGCCGGCATATGTGAGGCAAAGCTAATCTCTACTCGTAATGTCTCAGTTGGTAGGTCGCGTTCCGGGTTTTATTTTCGTCCCACCTCACCCGGTCTTTTTAGGTACTTCTTTGGTACTTCCTCCCACCTCCCTCCCAGCCGCGAAAAACCAAAAAAACCCCGCGATCGAGTCCCGCACCCGCCCAACCTCCCGTCCTGGAAGAAAACCTACGAAAAAAAACCTACGAGAAAAAACCAGAAATCGCACGCACGAGCGAGACTGCCCTCTCGATCCCCTCGACCTACGATCTGTGACTGCAGACACACCAGATCGCCGCCGCGGACCTCGTAGGGAAGACGCGGACGAGATCCCAAGCCGCTCCTCCTCCTCTCCCGGGATGCAGCCGCCGCCGCCGAACCAGGGAGACGCCGGCGACCGTCGCCACCCTCGTGGATCACCAGGACGCCGCCGCCTGCACCGCCACCACCGCGCCTCGGATACGTCGCTGCGAGGCGCACAGGCGGAGGACCCGGTAGGGCAAGGATGGGCAGCCGCCCTACCTTGATTGGTGCAAAACCAGGTAATACATGCACGTATCGCTCGTTCAGCTAGCTGGGTGAATTCGTCGTTGCCTCCTTGGGAAAAAAGAAAAGGAGAAAGAAAGGCAGAGCACCAGAGCCTGCCATAGATCGCACGTGGGCTGCATTATTTAGCCCCTGAGCTGGTAATTACATGGATGATTAGCGACGCACACCGCTCCGACCTGATCACCCATATTTTACTACGGTGATTAGCGGCGCAGCTGCGTTGCCTGCGGCTGGTGGCGCGGCAACGTTGCTGGTAAAGGGAGAACATACAGTAGTTGAACAAGGAATGAAAATGAGACAGGTATAAATTTGTGAAATTTTTACACTAATTGTGTTATAATATATTTTACACCCTCGATATTACATTTGTGAACAGAGGGAGCAGCAATATTAGTAGCTTTTCTATGATTTGAGTTGCAGATTTAACAACAACAACAAAAATTGAGTTACTTGGTAGTGGCCATTTTTTATGTACTACTTGAGTCCGCCACACCTCAAATTATATCCGTCCTCCGCCACTGGCGAGGCGGATCCCTGGGAGCAGGAGGAGGTAGGGGTCAGCCGCGTCGACAGCGGCGAGGTGGAGCCCTGGGGCTGGGAGTGGGTATGGGAGGAGGTGGGGGGCAGCTGCGAGCGCAACGGGGTGAGGGGCGTCGATGAGATGCTCCTGGTGCCTCCCTCCGAGTGGGAGGGGGAGAGGGGCGTCAGCGGCGAGCCGGATGGGGCGAGGGGCGTCGATGAGATGCCCCCGGCGCTTCCCTCCGGGCGGGAGGAGGAGAGGGGCGTCGGCGACGAGGCGGGTGTCGGCGGCGAGATGGTCTCTGACGGGCGTGATGAGGTGGGCAGCTTAGGCGTGGAGCGTGCGTTCGTGGAGGTATTCGCCAGGGCGCTCTTCTATCCGACGGTGATGCTCAACTACGGCCACAGCTTGATCGAGCCCGAGTTCCACTGGTGGGATCGCATCGACAAGCTCAGTTCACGTCTGTATTCTTCTTCTTCATTCACGGGGAGAATTTTGCGAGAGAATAGCAAGGGAAGGTACCGGATCATGAAATGGAACTGTTCTGTTTTCCGGAACACAAGTAGTGAGCACGGTAGATTCTCTGTACGTTCGCAGAAATCGTCATTGCTACTAATTACAGCAGTAATTACATCGAGATGCCTACGGTTAACTCCCTTTGAACTTATCTAGGTCCAAGACATATTGAGCACTTGAGCAGTACCTTGCCGAATACATTCATTACCTAGACATACTCAGTTAATTCACTTTGGTTTGTTAGAAACCTTGTTTGTTGAATCTGTATTGATATTTACTGTATTTTCAGCTGTATGGATGTTGCTGTTTGAGGAATACTGAATAATGTTCATCTGTATACATTGGACTAATTTTAATTTGTATCGATCCAGGATATTTGGATAGGGGCAGTTCCTCACCAACCAATGTCATAATTTATCACGTCCGCAAATGATTTTTGGACTTTAGTTTGGATTGTTCTGCCGAGCGTATAACAACGCATGCTATCTATCAAAGCTTCGACTCATTTGTTTTGCTGCTCCGGAATATTGAGACGAGAAGAATGGCCTTGATGCTGGAGGTACAAAGAGGCACAAATAAACTTTCACTCATTACACTAGCACTGTTTTACCATTGACGGAGCATTGTGAATATGTTAACAGACTACTTGGGTGTTCTAATATCGAAATATATACATAATATAAGTATATACCATGACATGCACTGCTGCTTCTAATTAGATACAATAGCTTCTCTCTTTTTTATTGTACAGCTGAGATCTTCATTACATTACAACCTTATGTTTTGCTTATTTGTTTACTGAAATTGGTGTTCTGTCTCTAGGTTAATGGATCACCCTGGGAACGATTTTGAGGGCATTATGCCAGCTACTTTGATGGCAATGGATTATGGAATGGCAAACTAACAGGGCACATCGCACAACTGGCATAAATGTGTTGATATGTTGCATTTCAAGGCAGTTTCACTCATAAATACTACAAAGGTTTACAAAATGTTCACACAGTATTTGGTTCATATCACCATTGTTTCATGTTCGATTGACTGGTGCGGTTCTCTTACATAGTTTGAACCATTTAGCATTTGGGACCACGAGGATTCCGATTGGGAGAACGACGTCATCCATAGATTAATGGTGAGACTTTGGTGCTTTGATTAATTTCCAGGACCATTGTTTCCTGTCCAGTGATGCAATCTGAAAATCATGCAAAAATTTGTCATGTTTGGGCATTGTCAGTATGGGAACACCGGGCCAACCCACTTTACAGGACAGGAGGGTTGACCGCTGGGCGATGCGCTGCACGAGTAGGCCAGGAGGAACAAGAGTAGAAGAGGACTGTAGCCTGTAGGTGAGAGAATATGATGCCATTGCCATCTTGACTGAAGGTTGGGCATCTAAAGATGCTTGGCAACCAGAACTCTGAAGGTATATGGTGTGATATTTACTAAAATTATATTGACCAAGCACAACATATCCAATCATCTGGAACCTGTCCTCTTCTTTTCTGGAACTAGCGGAAACCACCGTTCTTTGACTGATTGTTATAGAGTTTATCTGGTTTTGAAAATTAATATTCTCTGAATTTTTTTGCTAGCTAAACACCACTTGAAGGTACCTGGAAATACATTACTTGCTGAAGCTGCACATCCTACGCCCCAGGAGGAGGCCAAATGCATATTCCGATCATGTGATCTAAATACTAAAGCTTCCTTGCTGGATCTAAGGTTTAATTTCTCTGCCCCAATGCTGGTTCTTAGGGTAATACAAGTTCTACTCCATATTTTTTGTGCCCTCCACATAAATCCATCACTCTCTTGTTGCCTTGAAGCATACTTCCGTAGCAGCCGGAGCTGAACATTTAGAGAGACCATACTGTAGCAAGCTTGCTTTCCAGGGACCTGGTGTTTCTGCAAACCCAACGAAGGCGTGTTTGAAAAAAAAGGTCAGTTCGTGTTGCAATTTTATGAAAACTTGCTTATGCGGTGTTATTGCACTGGTACAAAAAATGTCATGGTCTTTTTCTTCCTGTTTAGATCGCCACCTACCTATGAATTACGACTCTGGGCATGGCAGAATGTCACCATAATTTTTGTTCAGCAACTAGATTTCATCCCAAGATGTGCCATCTCTCTAATTTGACTCTGAGCATGTAATACAGTTAGTTAATCATGTGGGTTGGTCTTGTGTCTTCCAGCTGCAATTGAATTAGTCTAAGCAATCGAGGTCCTACTAATTAATTAAGCTGGCTATTTGCTTGCTTCTTGTACCTACGGCATGCTCTTGATTTTCTTTATCGCAGTATGCAAGCTTCTAAGCGCCGGATTGATGTCGTACTAACAAATTAAGGTGGTTGATTACTTGCTTTTTTTTCTCAGTATTGCAAGCTTTACTCTGAATTAAAAGGAATTAAAAGGATGGAGCCAGTATGCCTACAGTTGATTCACTGATGTTCAAATTAACTGCAGTAGCTTATTTTTCCTACACCTTCATTGAAAGTTCCTTTGCCGTATCTAATTATCTAAAGTTTTCCTTGTACCATTTTCCATGAATTAATGTAATTGGGAATACCAGTGCTTGTTTGAATCATTTAGTTAATTAATTTTGTAGATAAAACTTGTATTTATATGTTTTAGAATTACTATTATCCTGGTAAAATGACCACAAGTGAAAGTGTTGTAAAGATTAATTATTCTTTGTGGAAGCATTATTGGTCTAATTAATAGATGTACATGCATCAATAATGTTGTTGATCTTTAGTTGATTCTATAGTGTCGTACTATTCGCAAAGTTCTATTTTGAGAAAAAATAGCAAATTTTTGCTTGTGGCAGCTAAATGGCGCGCCCGCTGTAGCAAGTGAGTGCCCATCGAAATCACACTGAGCATATTTGCGTTGATTTTCATGATTGCTCTTCTGCCAGCAACAATGTTCCTCGCACTTCGACCACACAACTGTATGTTCATGTTCCAGAGTCCTTATTCATAGTTAATTTCAATCACAAAGTGACAAATGCCAGTCTATTAGTTAACATGTGTATCTCCGTTTCTTCTAAGTTTCAATCGACCTACTCTGAAGTTGTTCCTAAGACAGTGCCTCAAGCAAAGGGAATGAGCCTCAGTTAGTGTATCTAGCGAGTTCGCGATCCTTTGTTGGGATAAACATTTGTGCAAGAGCAAGTCTCGTCACTGTTGGTTGTTCGTACTGTTGCTTGATAATTCTAATTTTTACTTCAGTTCATAAGGCAATGTAGTTATGCTTGACGCACGATATGAAGACTGCCATTTTGCCTTTTCACCTTGGTTTCTTCCTCCAGTAAGTAAATGCACATAGTTCTTTTCTAAATTAGAGCATATGACTTGTTGATCGATCTCTGAGCTCAGTAATAATATTAAGCCTTAATCTGTTTATTGTGCAGACAAGATGAGAAAGAAATGCTACCCAAGAATATGTACTTTAAAAACATTTCAACTGTAATCTGGAATAAAATTAAATAAATAAGGAAACAATATATTCATATATCTTTTTTGTACTTTGATGGTTTCACACCACAAGTTCCTAGATGGTAATTGTGCTGCATATGTCTGCTCTCTTACTTTGTTTTTCTGAACAGGTAGGTTCCGGAAGATGTCATGAAGAATTTCTTTGAGAGAATTTGCGTGAGGTGTGTCTAAATGATTTTTATCTTCTGAACATATTCTTGTATGACTAACTGAATTCATTTTCTCAAAACGTTGGTACTTTTCCTTTTTCATTTATGTTGCTCGACTGAGTCTCTCTCGGATCATGTACACTCCACATGCTAGCTGATCTGTAGCAGTGCGGAAGGTGAGCTTGGCTGCCGGCAGCAACTCCTTTGGCTGATCTGCGGCGATGCAGAAGTTGGGTTGGAAAAAAGCACGACCGGCTGCTCTGAAGTGGGTCGTAGGGAGAGCTTCGTAAGAGATAGGGAGGGAGCTCTATTGGCCCGTGCATGACATCCAACCCAATGGCATCATGCCCTGGTAAGCTTCTTATCTGTTCCAATTCTTGCATTTGGTCCTTTTCTTTCTAACCCTGAAAATAGAGTTTGCCTTGATTCCTAATCATGCTTTAAAAGCTGATATCAACCTCGTTTATCTTGCTACTGGTGGTAATGTGTGCAAGTATGATTTTGTGATAATGCCAGATGTTGTGTGCCTTCTTTATTCATGGTACGAGTACTCTAACCTGGCTCGTATGATAATGTATCCCTGCCACAGAGCACAAACGACGTGTTTTTAATTATATTTTAGTTGACATGGATTTCATTTATCTTGTGAATTGTATATTCAGATCATGAATTTTAATGATTGATTGATTTTCATGGTCACAGGTAGGCATGGTTGCATGGCCACGGGGAGAATGGAGCAAGCAGCGTGTGAGGAGTTTAAGAAATGGGGACGAGGGACAGTTTAGTTAATTAAGTCTATGTTAGTTTCAAGTTTTATCCTTGTTGCGGTAAAAAATTAAGGTTGGATTAACCACCATGTACATCTTTAATTACTTTTAAATAAGAAATACAATCAAAATATTCTTTTGAAATCATAAAATTTATATAATTTGTACAAGTACATGAAGGTGGAACAGGAGGAAGGGTGGGAGAAGATTAGGCCCCGTTTGGTAACAAAGTATTTTCTATGTATTCCCATAATACTGCAGTTTTTTATAATACTGTAGTTTTTATTACAAAGGGTTGTTTTGGCTGTCTCTAAAAATTGTAATTTTAATACTGCAGTTTTTGGCAAACCACAGTATTTTGTCTGCATCAAAAAAAAAAAAAGAACCACATACCTCTTTTTTTTAAAACTAAGCTCGCTGAGAAAAGAAAGTCCCTCGCTCATACCTTCTTCTCAACACGCCTCATGTCCATGACCGTTTTATCAGGATCTTCTGCTTGGTGATTTAGTTAGCTCGCTTCCGTTTGTTGCTCCAAATTACAGTCAACCACAAAATCGTTTTGAAGACGTTGTTGCCGTCCGGATAGCCAGTTAGAATATATGTCTTCTACGCCGCGTGAATGGCCGTTCTTGGTGCATGACCGAGTAGTTGCATAAAATGGCTAGCTAACTAGAAAAGCACGTGTGTGTGCAGCTGCTAATGGTTTTAGCTAGCTAATTTTGTGTCGCTGAAAATGGGATAGCCAAACAGGTTGTCTGTATTATCATAACTACAAAATATTCTGTTATGTTAAAACTGTAGTATTTCACACCTGTAGGCTAAATTACTGTAGTTTTTGATACTTAGGTTTTTGGGATACTTAGGTTTTTGTATTATTTGATACTTAGATATCGTTTCATTTTCTTGCAAGGAGAGGATGGTTACGAAGAAATAACAAGAAATGGAGAGAGAATCAGTTTTATTACTGTATGGATGGAAACCACATGCCAGCTTGTCCAACATATTTCTACATTGAGTCAATTATTCGACCGCTATGTTTTTTTTATTCCATGGCAATGCATGGTCATTCAACTATTCAAATTTACAGGCTGTTCATCCACTTTTTTCAAGCTATTTACATATTTGTCACTTGTCAGCAAGTTTGCATATGATGCTAGGAAGTGAACATAAGGACACATAAACGTTGCATTTTTTTTTGAGGAAAAAGAGTAAAATTACATTACTCTTGAGCCAACCAAACAGTCGGTAGCTAGCACTACTCTCAGGTCATCCGGGACGTTAGCCATCCATTGCGTGTCCCCTTTACTTCTAGCTCGGGCTGCGAGACAGTGCGCCAGCTTGTTTTGCTTTCGATTTGTGTATCTCACCTGAGCTCCTTGGAATTTCTTTAGCTCCTCTTTGATGTCATGAAGCACCGAAAAGCAGGCAGAGCGGTTACAAGAATCAGGCTGTAGTTCCTTCGTCAGAAAAGAGCAGTCAGTCTCAGCAATA